AAATATTTTCCTAATTCCCTGAAAAGTTTGGCGTATCAAACAGAGCCTTAAGGTGATAAAGGTTTTTTAAGCAACTGACCAATTTTATTTTTTGATCTTGAAAAGTCTCTTCAACTGACGTGATGAAATGCACTACTGACGTGCTATGGCGTCGTGTAAATTGAAAATGAGTGAAAGAAAAGTGATTCAAATGAATACAAATTAGGATCTCTACTAATTAACATATATAAAAATTTAAATTAAAAATTAAGCTTGATGCTGGATCGGCACTGGCTCTGGTTCTAAAACTAGAATTGAACCAAAACTATAACCAAATGGTTCTCGTTTCGAAGAACTAAAATTATTATTATTATTGGAACTGAACCGCTCAGTTCGGCTTGTACATTTTGCCCACTCCTAATCCTTCTTTGTTTATAACTCTAAATGGTCAGATTGAATGGTGAGCTAGTCCACACATATCACCCTTAGTGGTTGTTTGGTAGGGATTTTTGAAGGGAAATGTGTGGTTGAAAAAGAAGAAAAAAATTATTGATGTGATGGAAAATATTATGTTATTGAAAAATGTGTGGTTGAAAATGAGAATTGGTTTACTGCAGAATTTGAGAATAAAAAACAAACATGCCCTTAATAAGTTAAATGATTAATGGAATTTAGTCCAAATTTTAACTATTTAATATTTACTAGTCTATATATTTTGAGAACAATCAGTATATGAGAATTCATTACATTAAAGAATTTTCTAGTTTTTCAATAGATATTTCGTATCATTATTAATTCGGGATGGTCTGTTTGGTCATGCCAAATAATCAAAATAAATACAATATTGAAATTTTGCTTCAATATAATATTTTATTTAATTGAACTTTTTTTTATAGTACATAACAAATTAAAAGATAGAGTGAATACGAAAGGATAAAACATAATAACAACATGCTCATCAGTTGTGGTCTAAACAATCTTGATCTCCTATCTCTAGTTGGTAGGATAAAAACTTGCCACTGATGATATGATAAGAGAACTTCGTTTATGATTCTCTAAAACGGTGATGATCATTATTGGAGGTGGGCATTGTCCAGTTCGATTCGGTTCTGTTCTAAAAAGAACCGAATCAAATCCGAATTTTCGAGTATTTAGTAAATGGAACAATTGAGTTCAAATTTAATTATGGAACAGTTCGGGTTCGGTCTCATTCGGTTCAGTTCGATTCTATTTAGTTCCGAGGTTTCATACAATAATTAATTTTTTTTTGTTATTATAACAACGCTACATTAATTCGACTATAATATGTGCAATCTCAACTCTTACAAAATAACGTAGTCCAATCTCGTCATATCCTTTGCACATCACTTTGTTGAGTTTTTCATAAGTTTGATTGTTAAAATCACATGAAGAGAAAGATGGTCAATTCACAATAATAGAATGACAAAAACGATACTACAATAGAATAAGAGATTTGAGTAAAACTTAGATCAATTTGATTAAATTGGGATGGTTGGAAATTAGAAATAATAAAATCATATTTTGAGTTTGGACTAAATTAAGCGATTTTATTTTTAAAAAAAAATTGACTTATTTAAGATAAAAATAAATAAAAAAATTAGGAAGATTCGATTCTTATTCGGATCTTCGCTTCGGGTTATTCGGTTTTTGATTCAATTACCCGTTCATGTATTTATCTTAAGAAGAACCGCTCAATTCAGTTCGTGAGTTTTGTCCAACCCTAACCATAATTCTAGTGGTCTAAAACATGTTTTTAATCAATAGGATTATCGTTTACATGATATGTGAAAATAGTTTTTTTTTTTTGTCAAAAAGAAAATAAATTTATTCCCCCGTTTGACACACATTATTTCAAAATACATTATTTCAAAACTCATTTTCAATCACACATTTTTCAATAAAATAATATTTTCTATCACGTCAATAACTTTTCCTCACTTTTTAACCACACATTTCTCTTCATATCACTATTTAAAATATAATTTTTTCTCAATAATATCCATCAAACACACTTCTTTATTTCTGTTTGACACTTGAAAAACATTATAGGAAAGATGACGTATAATGCATGACATGAAAGTATCATATGCCCACACGAATAATCAATAGAATTTTACATATCAATTAAATCAATCAGGTCTCCATGATCAAAAGTTGTTGTATGATCACTTATTCATAAAATTCACACTTGAACATATTTTTAACTTGTGCTACTTCAAGGTCACAATAAAAGATTCGTTAAAAATGTTATTTTAGGAGCAATAGTTCAATATTCTAAATTTACGAGAGAATAATTCGATATTATTTTAAAATATCGAAATTTGTAATGTAACATTTTTCAGAAACATGTAATATTTTGCTAGAATATTAATTAATATTATGCCTCCTCGTGAGCAATAAAAATTTATTATTCTGATATATTAAACTTTATAAATTTATGCTCTTCAAGAATAGTAACACACTAGATCTTCTAAACTAAGTTCCTTGATAATATCAATCTAGATAATTATATATTTTTTGGGAAATGTATAATTGAAAACATATTAATAATTAATTGGTAAGCAAAAGAGATTTATCACGCAATACTAAGTCATTGTTTGGTTCGGATTAAAATATGATTTTAATTCAAATCAAAGTCAAACAATCAATATTAACTAATTTCACAACTTTTTAACCACGCATTTTAAAAACTTTTATCATAATCTACTAAAAATCTAATTTTAATCCCCACATAACACCCTCTGACTTTAATAAAGCTGCAGGTACAGAGTTTTTCTATAGAATTTGAACGTGGCAGCATCCTTTTTGCCTTTTTTTCTTCTTCCAATGAAAATCTTCAAAGTGTATTTTTTGTTGATTTTCCTGTACTCATAGCGTCGTTCTACTAAATTTATATGCAATAAGTTAAAGGGCAAAATTTATAAATAAGGTGTATACTTTGCACCAATTCAAAAATCAGGTTTATAGTTTGAAAATTCAAAAATCATGTTTTTTTTTATGAAATAATAAATTATTAAATCAATTTATTATTAAATATTTAATTCTAATATAATATAATTAACCCATCCCACATGCACCACTCATACCGCTCTGGGGACTATTTCGGCGACCATTTAACCACCACTCTTTTTCGGCGACTGCTCCGATTCTGGCAACCATTCTAGTCACAGATTTACAATTTACGGTCACAGTTCAAAAATTTTATAGGTCACAATTAATTCGTTGGTCACAGATTTCAAAATTAGTTGGTCACAGATCAAAATTTATAGGTCGCACAGTCACAAATTTCCAAATTAATTGGTCACTGACTTTTTTACGGTCACAGATAAAAAAAATGATTAATTTCATTGGTTATATATTTTCAAATTTGTTGGTCACATATTATTTTTCAGTCACATATTGTCAAATTTTTAAGTTACAGTTAAATACTTGGTCACCGATAACCAAATGCTTGGTCACATACCAGGCACTACTTCAGCCATCACCACCACACAAAACACCGCCACCACCCATAGCCACCAAACAAAGTACAGCCGCCACCCCAATCGCCGATCCACCACTAGAGATGCTACCACACAAAATACCTTAGATCCCATCAGATCCCCCGTTGAGGAAACCACCGCAAAATCACAACCAACAATAACACCAAAATCACCACCACCGAGAAAACCACACACATCCAGCAACACACAGATCCGCCCCACACCCATAGATCTGCCGCCTCTCTGATTCCCTCAACATCGATCCGCACAAACACGGTCGAGCTACACACCCATTTCACTGTAATTTCGTCGTCCACCGACTTAGCAGCAATTTCATTGTCCACCGACTCAGCCACCGACTCACTGTAATTTCGTCGTCCACCGACTCAGCTAAACACTGCTGACTTGCAGCTATTGAACGCAGCGTCCCACTGCAGCGACGCTGGCAATAGTGTTGCTGCAATGTAACGCTGGCAGCAGCTGCTGAACATGAGAGGGGAGGGAAGAAAAAATTAGGAGGGAGGGAGGAGAAGAGACGGAAGAGAGAGGAGGATAAAGAAAAATGATTAGGGTTTGAGAATAAATTAAGATTATCAATTAGGTTTTAATATAATACCTGATTTTTGAATAAATAAATTGTTGACCTAATTTTTAAAAAATAATTTTTAAACATCTTATTTTTTATAATTTCCCTAAGTTAAAACAAGTACATATTATTAAGCCCATGCTTGTTATTCATTATTTTCAAAA